TGAGGTGCTATGGCCCATTTCGCTTGAGACGTCCGCACAATTCGGTTCCAAGACGTGGTCCGAGAGGCGCCATTGACGGAGTGGTAACTTGGGTTGCCCCCGGTGCCGGGGGAAGCTGGGGACCAATAGAAAGTGACAGAACAAACGAGAAGTCGCCACACATACACACATCTCTCTCTCTATATATATATGCGCATACACACATATATATATATATGTCTTCATACATTCATATATATATATATATATATATATATATTCTCGGGACGAGATGTTTACGGGAAAATTGGGTACCAAGACCGACAGTTTTCCTGTTCATTTTGGACCAGATTCGCTGTCGGCGTCGCCGCCCGCGAACGCTGTGCATGCGAGCCAGCAGGCCGCCTGCCAGCAACGGCCGCTGTCGGTCTTGGGCAGCACTTGCTGTGCCCGTTGTTTTCCGTACCCGCTTCGGGCGTCCAAGCAGGAGCGGCGCCCTTCGTTCTTCCGTTCCCCTATCTTTTCCGCCCCGCCCCCGCTCGGCGATGGACGCGTCGCCCAAAATTAACAATTTGCCGACGAAGAATTGTTAAGGATTTTCCAACATGGCCACTTGTGTTTTTTTCATCCCAGGTCGATGATCATGCAACCAAGGGAGCACCCGGAGGGAGGGGGCAGCGGACCAGGCCGCCCGGGCGCCGGGGGGAGACAGCCGCGCCGCGGGCGCGCGCCTGCGCCTTCGCGGGGATGTCGCAGCAGGGCGGGGCCTCGAAGGTCCTGCTGATGGGCCGGGCCGGCGCAGGCGAGGAGCTGCCGCCGTCGTGGTGCGTCGTCGTCCTCGTCGTTGTCGTCGTCGTCGTCGACGACGACGACCACGCGGCCGTCGCCGTCGGCGTCGCCGCCGCGGCCGTCGTCGTAGTCGTAGTGGCGGTGTTGGTTGTGTGGTGGTCGTTGCCGACGGACAACGCTGCAGGGACACGCCGCGCAGCGCACGAGCGCACACCTTGGGAGAGGAGGGGGCCAAGGCGCCCCCCACCAGAGAAAAGAGGCAACCCCCACCCGCGGAAAGCACGGGATCGCGGAGCGGCGGTCCTTCCAGATCACGGGGCCGGGGGGGGTGTCGGGGCGCGCGCGCGCGCGGAAACGCCGCGCGCCTCTCTCGCCCCTCACCGAGACATCCGCGCGAAGCGAGCGAAAACACTAACGAGTGTTGGGGCGGCCCAGGGCCAGAGACACTGTGAGGCACCACGAGCCACCCTCAGATTAGTAGTCATGCAATCAGAAGTGTGAGTGCCGCCCCCGACACCCTACCTCAGCCAAGCAACTCCTGGATTGGTCACCGTCGGGGGCCTGGCAGTAGCAGTGACTCGGCCGCCGGTCCTCCCCTCGTCGGCGGGGCGACGGCCAGCCACGGACAATCTTCTATTCCGCTGAGCTCCCTCCGGCATCTGGGCAGGCTCGGGGAGAGGGCGGTCAAGCAGCAGATGGCCCGCAGCCCCCGTGCTGTAAAGACCGCAGCGCACGCACAGAACGGCTTCCCCCGCGGCCGTAAAGCACCGATGCCCCCTCGACTACAGTCGGGGCCCTGAAGAAGGAACCCTTTTCGTTGGGGAGGGGCTCCGTGTTCCTTGATTGCTTCACAGCTTGCCTTGGGTTTTCCTTTGGTTTTCGATGGGAAATCGAAGTTGAACTTGTGGATTAAAGGGGCCTCGTTCCCTATTTAGGGCTCCTTGGGTCAACGCCCCGACTGTATCCAGGCGGGACAATACCGCGTGGCGGCAAAGGTCTGGCCGGAACCGTGGCCTGTGCGAGAGAAGGCCCCCCTCGCTGAGCTTCCAGCCTGGGGCGCCTGCCAGCTGGAGGCGCGAAGGCAGGGCCGGCGCGGTCGCGAAAGCCGTGCCCCACCTGCGCAGTAGCCTGCAAACGGAGGGGGAAGGAGGAGGAGGAGGAGGAGGAGACGGGGAGGGAAGTGAGGAAGGACGGAAAGGAGGAGGAGGAGGAGGAACAAGAGGACGAAGAACAGGAGGTTGCCGATGGAAAAGCAGAAGAAGGAGGAGCAACATACGGTGGGATTGGGGGGAGGGAGGGGTGGTAGCCGTGAGGAGGGAGGGGGAGGAGGAGGAGGAGGAGGAGGAGGAGGAGGAGGAGGAGGAGGAGGAGGAGGAGGAGGATGTGGATGTGGAGGGAGAAGGGAAGGAACGGGAGGAGGCGGAGGAGGGAGAGAGGATCAGGGAGGTGGATGCTGATGCTGATGCTGATGATGATGATGATGCTGATGATGGTGCTGATGATGAGGAGAAGGAGGCTGCTGATGCTACTCCTGATGATGATGAAAGTGATGACGCTGATGATGATGCTGATGAGGATGCTGCTGCTGCTGACCATGATGATGATGATGGTGATGATGCTGATGCTGATGCTGCTGCTTCTGATGGTGATCATGATGATGATTATGATGATGAGGAGGATGATGAGGCTGCTGCTGATGACGACGATGATAATGACGGTGATAATGACGATG